TAATGGCTACATTAACAGAGCTTAGATTCTTACAGATTCCTATACTTTTTTCGTATTATATGTCCAATATTTACGTTTTACATGTCAATTTCTATTAATTGCAGAAATTTATTTTGAAAGTACACCACGTAAAAAGTACTTTATTAATTCACATCTTTTGACGTTACATCGTTCCATTATATATATTCTAGTTCTAGACGGAATTTTATCATCAAATTCGTTTAAATACTTGAGTAATTTAGATATAAACGCTCTTATATTTATTGAGAAAAAAGCAAAACTTTCACATTTTTTTATAAACAATACACAACAGGTAGGATAGCAAAATATGGCTGTAATTAGCGAGATATATTGTTAGTAGGTTTAAGCATTTTTCGTTATACATATATGCTCTAGATTATGAGTGGTGTACTTTATAAAGGTGATGGGATCGCCTATACTTATAACATTACCAATGGCCGGCCTTAAACGTGTAGCGGGAAACTGCCTACAAGCGGCCAGTGTAGAGAACACTGGAAAGAACTGAGGGAGGCCTATGTCCAGCAGTGGACGCGATTGGCTGATTGATGATGATGATTTTTAATTATCTCCTCTCCATCAGAGTAGGCTTTTTTCTTCCGGGCTAACAGCAGAGAAAGTTCCTATGATGTTTTAACCATAGTTTCCATTTCATCACTTCTCTTCTGAAACAGTGACTGTTGGCTGGCTAGGGTTTTCTTTTTGTTTTCAATAAAGTCGGCTCGCAAATGTGAACCAATAGGATATTTGTTGCTGAAGTCCTTATGCAGTTGTTTATAATGTCGTTCCAGGTTAAATTTTTTTCGGAACTGCTACAGACAATCCACATATCAAATAAACAGGCTTTGAAGTTTTACGATTAGTAAATAAAAATTGTTCTTCCCAAGCAGGTTGAAAATCGCGAATTGCAATATCATCTTCGTATTTTCGTTTTGAAGTCGAAGGCTTACTTTTAAAATTTTAAAATTTTAAAGAAACAATGCGCGATGACAAAATGTGCACATACAACGGGGCAGTTTAAAATAAACTAAGCAGGGTAAACGCAATCCTATTGCACATTACGACAGCTATATATCACGTGCACCAATCGCAGCAATATCGCTCGCCAGAGGATGCAATGATGCCACATCTATCGTAACTTCCGTAAACCTACCAAGTTTCTTCTTATTATTTTTTGTTTTTCAAGTTTTAATTTTTTTGAAAGTTTGATCAGTTTGAAAGTGCATATCAAAGGCACGCTACGCGTGCCACTGATAGCACTTAATCGTGGCACGCGTGCCGCGGGTTGGCCATCCCTGATGTAATGTCATTTAAACTATCCACTGGAATAATACCTAAATTTTTTCGAGCTTCTTACAGAAGCTCGAAAAAATCTTTCTTATCTCTTTAGTTCGTGTAGAAGAATCCTCTGTGCTCCTGGTCTATTTAGTGTTCTGACATTCCACGTTCCCAGCAAAAATTCCATATTCCGTTGCCAAAGTCGTCGTCTTGATTTCCGTCCATTCCGAGGCCCTTCTGAAGGTTTCGTAGTAGTACTTTTTTACAAGGATAGGTTACTGGCCTATCGCCCAACCCCCTTTTCGGAGGGCCATTTCTCCCTTCCTCGTCAGCCCTGACCCTGCCTTCCACTGGGGTTGGTTACCCAATCTCCAGCAGGGTTGCTCAGGTTCTCCGGGTTCACCCGTGCAGCCTAAGCTGCACTTCGTGGAGGTGAGGATAGGAATTGAGTAGGAGTGGCTAGAGGTGCTATCAGGAAGCAGCACCTTGTATTGTGCGTCACTACTCATTTGAACCCCATTAAAAGTATTATCGATTTTAAAATGTGTGGGTCAATATGATCTGTAATCGAAGCAAGAATATTTCGCGCTTTCGAATACAAAGGTTGATCAAACAATACACATACGTGTTTTTGATTGATGTGCTTTAGCTCTACTTACAGCTTCGATTAAAACTGTAAAAATTGTACTGTAGTCGCTTGGAGCAGCATTTACAAACGGTAGTGGAATTACTTTAGAAATTTCGTATCTTTAAATTCATAACATTTCTCCATGAATTCAAACCATCCCGTAGTATTTTTATCTGTTTTTTAGTGAAACACCATATCAACTCAGTAGATTTAATTCGTAATTTTTTAAGGGCGTTTTTTCGTATTAAATTTTTTTGACGCTTCTGATTCGAATTTATTATTTTTATTTTCAGCAACTAAATTAACCATAACTTCAAGCTGTGTTTCAACGCCCATATATACAACTGCATTATCCACTTGGTTTTCGTCTTCCGCAGTACTGGGATCAAGAAAACTGTCTGTACCAATCATCATTAATTGAAAGATCGCTGTATACCATTTGATCAAATCTAGCACTTTTATGTCTATAACATTGTTTTACAGGAATAAAACCAAATTTATCATTTGCTACATTTAACGAAGTCTCTTTTTTTATTTTAGTAACAGGCGTTATCCAACCCATTGCATTGGAATGTATTATGTCCATCAACTGTAGCAGTATGCGTTATGAAGGACAGAATTTTCAAATAGTTCAAAATCTTTATACGAAGCACATAGCGAGCAATTAATGAGTCTTTGATACATATTCGATTAAAGCTGAAACTATTAATTCAGATAACTTTCGTCAACAGACACAAGTAATTGCGAAAAAGTAAGTACTTGATTGTCTTATTTCATTTGGATTTTTATGAATTTTTACAATAATGTCTACAAGTTTCTTCAATGTTTTCGGAACGTTGTCAATGTCATCTAAAAAATTGATTGTAGAATTATATTCATCCATGTCAAGGTGCTGATGCGTTCTGATATCTTGCATTATAATATGACCTGCCATTTCCACAATCCTCTTGCGATCTTTTATGTTGTCTTTTTCGCGTGCCGCGGACCATACTTTCATCTCCAAAATGATTTTCTAATTGATATACTATACGATCTATTCTAGGTTGTTCATAATTAACAATATTTGTCTGAGCTTTAAACTTATTAATACCTTTTAAAGAAAATTGCGAAATACTTTCTTGTCCAAAATATAGTTAATAGCGAATTCCAAAATAGCATTCATATTATCACTTAAATTATTGTCTATCATATTTATCGGTTTATAATGATAAAATTCATTCTGACATGATTAATGATATACAACATTATTTTCTAAAAAATATTGATTGCTTACATTACGCAAATTACGCAGACGTGCATCTATTGATTACAATACTCTTTCGATAGACTTTTTATTTTATCAAAAATATTATTTACTGTACTTTTCTTTTTAATTATTCTATAAGTAGAAGTATCTTTTAATCTAACTCTCTCAACAAAATAATAGCAACTTTCGGAAAAATTAAATTTTCTTTCCACAGCTATTTCCTTTCTGTGCCCAACGTAAGCCTGTGAAGCATTTTTAGCAGCTACTTGAATGCTACATGAGTGTATGTAAGCGCTTTGACAAGTTTTGTGCACCTCATCAAACACTTTTCCAAATTTTCAAATAGAAGATGTTTCTTATCCTTTCTTTCTCGACTGGATTTAACCCTTTAACAGGTTAAGCGCCACAGCGGACACGGGTGTCCGATTTGAAATTCGTCGCCTGGGCCACGGCGGACACCGGTGTCCTCTTGACTTTAAATTTTTCAACATCCTTCCCCGGCCGCGAGGACACGATTTTATGCGGTTTAACATAGAAATGTGTCCTCTATGCCCATCAATATAGAATGTTGAACCAGGTTCTGTGTAGCAATTCCGATTAGAAAAATCTGCGGTAAAAACTATCTTGAGGTCTTTAATTAAGTCTAGAAATAAGAATACATTTATTTGATAAAAAAAATTATTAAACAAATATAATAGAAATACATATCTATTATATGTGTGTGCATACGTTTATTTAAAAAAAAATAATGAGTTTTGTGAATTAAATTGAAACGTTCCAAACAAAACCTAGGATTATTTCCACACTGCGCACAGTACGTTATTACCTTCTTGACTTTATTTTTGTCTATAAGTCCATCCTGTTTTCTTTTGTAACATCCCTTGCAGTACCGTCTATTTTCCCGTGCCTTACAGCCTAGTTTTGTGAACACATGAGCATTGAGGTTTACTTTTGCAGGACGTGTAGGTTCATGAAAATGACTGCCTTCAAATTTTAATAATTCTTCGATAACTGCATACCTAAACTCATTTATCGATATAAAAAAAATTAATAAAATCCTTTGTAAAAGGTTTATATTATATAGGTAGTATATACCTTTTGCAAAGAATTTTAATAAATTTTTTTAATATATGGTATACAGCCAACTACAGGAACGTAGATTACTTGTGGAATTTATCGATATATTGGACTGTTCGATCTCCTTGTATATGAAATGGGCATTAACAATTGAAGTACCTAATAAAATTTCTATAGCTATTTTCTTCGTTTGTCGCAGGGCCGTACTATAACTCGACATCTGATCAGATAAATCAATGGAGCTTTTACCTGAATTGTAATCGACTACAACTTTCGGTTTTTTGGATATTATTTCCCCGACGTTGAAGTTGGACCATTTCAGCATTCTTTTTTGTCCGTTTTTTGACCATTTTTGTCGTAAAGAATTCTAACTTTCCAAAATTCATCAGTGCCATTTGGTTCATTGGCATCAGTAAAATGTAGATGGGATCGTAATTTTGAAAATTTGTTGTACGCCATATTATTTAACAACACTTACACAAAGTTTGCTGTCTAAATAAAGTCTTATACGAGGATAACTTAGGTTTCCCATAATAATATGAATGCCGACAAATATTTTTATTTCGTGAAAATTTGTATTCTCAAACGTGTATTATTTTGCTGGTGATAAAGATTTGTGTATATAACTATAGTATCAAACAAGGTGTCATCAAAATATTTATAAAAATAATCTATTGGTGATTTTAGGTGTGTAAGATGTGCTTCTGTTTTTTGTGCCCATTGTATAGTAGTGGGCGTTATGTATTTTACATCTTATTGCCACGTTATTTTGCTTTTTTCCGTTAAATCATGTGTCCTTAAATAACTCCTCTTTAACTGTTTACGCCCTAGTTTGCTTTTTAGTAGATCTTGAGAAGTAGTATCATCGTTGTTCACAACATGGGATGCTGAGCTTTGCGAAGTGACACTTTCAGAAAATTCTGCCTCCAAATCATTTACTTGACTGTCAGTATCATTATCATTACCTAAAATTAATAACTAGTTAATGATCTTACCGATAATTCCGTCGTCTCTCTGGAGATCTTCGAACGTCAATATCTCATCAGTCTCTTTATCACAGAACTCTCCCACATCAGAAAGTCCAGCCTCTATCAACTCAGTTCTTTTTCACTCAATGGCTTATTTTTGTTATTTACTCATTTTTAAAAGTATATATCTGTAAAAAAATTAAAAAAGTTGCCGAGGTTTTTCTTTAAATGAAATTGTACTAGTATAGTACAATTTAAATATCCCGTATTTCACCATGTACTATCCGTAGTACATTGAAAAATACGTTGTGTTTACAATAAAAAAAATGTATTGGTTAATAATTAATATTTAACTCAATAAAACAAAGTATAAAATGGAACAAACTATTAAAACTTGCCTTTCAATCGTTTTTTACTGCAAAAAAGTCATCCGAAAATAAGAAAATAAAGAAAGCAACCGTTTCTCAGGACACGAGGTTGTCAACTGGTACTAAAATTTCTAGAACTACCGACATCGTTATTGGTTACCATTTTACTAAATGGGTAAATCTGCTATCAAGCTATAGATAGCACCACGCAGCGTAAATCGTTCATTTAGCTTTACAAAAGTGCACTTCAAGTCGGTGTACAATATGTAGTGCGACATGAGCGAAAAGGTTAATTTAAATGTACTCAAGGTGGAAGATAGTTGAGGTTGGACGTGAGATGGTGTAGATGCAATAGCTTCTACAGACGAGCGGCTAGCTATCAGGTGGACGCGATGGAAGCGCCATGCGGTACGACGGAGAAATATTAATGAAGGCAGTCTTGTTGACGGCTGTCATTGTCAATTGACATTTCATCCATGAATGCAGAAGGCAAAATAAACAACAAAATAAATTCAAATTAGAATGTCTATATTATTTATTTTTTTAGGGATCAAAAAACGTACGCCCAATTTTTTAGGGATCAAAAAACGTAAATAAAAACATCTGTATACGTATTCAAAGAATAATTCATAAATAAACCTTAGACATTATAGGTAATAGTGGCAAATTAAAATGTGTTACTCCTCATAATTTTTAAGATATAGACACCAAAAATTAAGAATTTTCAGCAAAATGTTTTGTTTGTTAATTATTTCTATATTATTTGATTATCTACTTTATTTATGGTACAACAGTTTTTACCCATTATTACAATTAGTAAGATATTAAATAAAAAACATAATGTTTTCTAAATGTGTATTATGTCTAGAAAATTTTCAGATTTTTCTAGCCTCTAATAATTTGCATCACAACTTACGCTGTAAATCAAAGCGATATAACAATTTATGATTGATCTGTATTATGATAATCTCTATTGTATATATAATTTTCAAAAAATATAAATATTTTCCTTATATTTCAAAATTACTTAGTATGATCAAATGCTTTATATAAGTCCAATAAGTACAATGTGGTTTTTAACATCTCACTTAAATAGAACTGGTTTGAATGCTCACTAGAAACTTCTTTGGAAGTACTTGAAGAAGCTGAACAAATGAGCAACTCCTTATAGTAAGTAGTTTCAGTTTCATTTGCTTTACACAGTGTTTTCTGTGAGCAGGGATTTTTTTTTCTTCTGGATGTAAACCGAATTTGAGATGCAATAAGTTTATTTGCAAGTTCCTTTATTGTTTCGTTGGATTGAATAAATGCTCTACTGACGACAGACTGTATTGTGTTGCCAGTGTTTTCTCTAGTGTTTAAAGCAAATTGTATTCAATAGGATTAGTTCGTAATTGGGCTTGGAGTAAAGTCATTTTTTCAATAATACGATCAACTGCATTCTCATTGTCTTGTATTTTTCTAATTTCAGTAATAATGTGATCAATAGTATAGGATGGTAAAGTTGAAAAATCTTCTATAGTAGTACTCGTACTTGGGTCCAAACGTTCTGACTTGATGTGGCTTAATACAGCATGAATATGCTTACAGATTGTAAATTTAATGTGATAATTTGGACAAGAACAAGAATATCTGTACCTTAGAGGTAAAGGATTGTATCTCCAGTTTAGAAGTATTCGAGAAAACAAGGTTTAAAGTTTTATAATATGAAAATGAAAAAAAAATTTATAAAAATGAAATAAAAATGCATATTTGGCTTTTTTACAGTTTAATTAAGTAAATAATTGAACTACTAAGCTACACAAACATCAAAAATTTATTATACCTGACCTAAATTAAGGCACTTGGGACTGTTTACCACTAAACAAAAAATCAGGTAAAGAACATAAAATGAAAGTTGTAACTCCAAATCTACCCGAAAAAAGTTAAACAAAAAATATAATATAATTAAAAAATTCAATCTGAGTCAATGTTTTCTTCCTCTTGCTGTGTAGTTACCATTTCTTTATAAAAGCTTTGAAATTGAAACGGTATCCACTCACATAAATTTAAAAGATATTGATGTTTCTTTAGAGTTATACCTTTAGGTTCATTGCGGAGAGTAGGCAACGTGTGTGGAAATGGTGCTACGTTTTGTCTAGAATTTCTACGTAAATTCACCGTTTTTAATTGTGTATCGGTAAATTATGTTTTGTAATAAAGTAGACCTGGGCTATCACGATGTACTTCTAGCAAAACTGCCGATGACATAAGAAAACTTTGCTTTTCAGTATTTAGTTTTCGGCTAACGAATGGAGCCTGTGAAGATTATCAATATAAAGTTTTAGTCATTAGTCCATATCCAAACTGTAGCTCCTACCGATCTTATTAGCTGTTGCCAATCCACGGTGTAACAATACTCAATGCCGGTTGCTTCTTTAGTGTACGTTTAATAAGACCGTGAACATGGTCTGCTTCCATGTGGGTATGACCTTTAAGTAAAAACTTATGAATGATTGTTTTTAAAGAAGGGCAAACATTCATAAGAAAAAAGTAATTGACTGCCATCATAATATTTCTGTTTTGACTTGGACAGTTGTCTGACCAAATTATCAAGGTATCTGTATTAGAGTTTTTTACAACTTCTTCTGCCCACTTCAGTAAGGCTGACGATATTTCGTTACCACCTTTGCCAGCAACAGATTCATCCCACATCATACAATAGGACTTCTTTTCTGTAGCATCATAAATGGTGAGATTTAAAGTCCAAAGCTTTAAGCAATAAAAGCTTTTTGAGTTACATAGATGGGGAGTGGGTAGACATTTTTGCAAATCTAGCATAATAACTTTTGTTTTTTCAGAAAAGTTTACTTTGTCATTTTTTTATCGGTGTATCGGATATCAGCATCTTTTAAATGGCAATCAACTGTCTCTTGAATTGCTTCTCGCTTATCTGCTGATTGAATTTCTTGTAATGTCATAGTGAGACTATCACACACATCACAAGTGTCATTGGATGGCATTTTAAAACCAAGATTAAACTCTGTTTTAACAATATGGCGATATAGCCACGATTGGACTATCTCACTTTTTTGCAAGCCGTCTTCTTCACATTTAATTTTATAAAGATTATACATTTTGTCGATATTGAGTTCGCTTCCAAGATATTGTCTTTTTGTTTTGTTGCGGCTGGAATGACTTTCGTATATTGGGAATAACCGAATATGGCTACGAACTCGTTCTTTAACATCATCTGGAACCTTATTCTTCGGAATATGCTTTCCTCGCATATCGGCTGATGCGAAACCGCCTACTTCTGATTTTTTTAAAGCATTTCTTACAACGGTCTCAGATATACCCAATGTATGAAGAAAAAATAATTTACAAACCTCTACAATTTTACCATTAATCTCAAAATTATAATGGATCGTTTGTTTTCTCTGGTTATCTCTTCTTCCGTCTACTGGCCTTTTACGTTTTGTTGGTACACTATTCACCCTGGATAGTACAAATTGTCGTTTGAGATCCCACGTTTTAGTTTCAGTCCAATAATTATTAAATATCTGTACTCGCTCCAATTCGTTCATTTTATCAGAACATTTTCTTCTACAAGATCTACAACCGGGTTTAAGTTCCTTAGCGCTTATTATTTTTCCAGATTTTGAAACATGTTCTTTTCCAGCCAATGTTGCTTTAACTCTTTTTGTTACCTTCCAATTTTGTTCATTTCTTTCACGCTTTCTAGGCCTCAGTGTACTATTTTCTTGCTTATTTTCTATGGCGTTTTCTTTACCTTCTTCATTTGTCCCCTCAGTAAGTAACCTACTTTCTACACTTTTGTCTGCTTCCTCATCAGTACTACCATTTTCATCATTGGACGGAATATATTCGGGATCATCATCACTAAAATCTCTGAATTGTTCAGGTTCACTATCAGTTTCAAATTTTTGTTCATTTTCAACATTTCCTGATTCTTCACGCCTAATTGTCTGACAGCATTCGGCAATATTTGAAGTACCATTGATAATTCCTAAAACAACAACGAAACACCTTCAGGTTTTGATCTTTGGTTGTTAGTTAGTAGGTATACTAAATTCGCTCAACCGAGACGCGTTTTGACAGATTCAGAGTAGGAAACATACAACACAAAAATTCCTACGTCACACTATTTACAGCTCAAATAAACAAATAAACTTACTCTTTCATTAAAAAAAGAAGAATTATTGGAAATAGTGGGAGTGTGTACTAAACTCATACAATTTTGTTTCCTCAAAATATTTTTATTTTGTAGAATAAATAATAATTGATTGGCGTAAGATTTATGCTATTATGTCTGTTTATTATTAATAATATTGACTATGAGCACGTGTGTTTGGTTGTATAGGAATTAGTCATTTCAAACCACGTCTAGCTTGTCACGTCTATCAAAATGTAATTAACTTCTCAAAATAATAATTACTAAAACCACTAGACAGTTATGCCTCATATTAGAGAACCGACTATAAGCAGAACCCAATAACATAAATAGGGGAGTCAATAGAGTTTTTTGTTTCGAAAAAATTCAAACAAGATAGAACTTTTTGTAATTTCATTAAGAAATGTTTAATAAACAATATATCAAAAAGTTCTACTCCAAAAGTGGCTGCTTCATTTTTTATGAAGCAAATGAACTGCGAAATTAGTTGTTTTTTAAACAATTAATAAACAATTAGCGGCGAAATCTGTGAGTAGAACTTTTTACTTTAACATATTTATAAACTAACAAAAAAAGTTTTAGAAAAATCCAAGCTTGTTTGAATTATTCCGAAACAATGCCACTTTTCGATCTCTATTAACTCTCCTAAAAAGTGATCAAACAAATCCGTGTAAGAATGTCAATGATTAATTTTATATTTTAAAATTTACCTTGAACTGGGATATGCTGTGTGTCATCCTCTATATTAAGCCTGTAATCATCAGAATGCCTATTACTTGCAGGCAATACATCAGCCAATTCTGAAAATGAAATGAATGTTTTAAAGGTAAACAATCGCAACTCCACCACGTTTTATTAGCGGGACATTAAGAGGAGCTAAAATTATTTTAACGGAATATATTTGCACACTACAGTTAAACCAAAACTAATTACTTCTATGTTCCTATTAAAACAAATACTGTGTTCCTATTAAAATGAATAATATTCACAATATTTTATAAAATATATTATTTTAATCCTAACATAACCTTACTTTTCTTTTAAACTGTTTACAGGTTATTAAGTAGGTATTAGATATAATAAATTTCAAATTACCTTGAGTTGGAGGATCATTACTTGAAACTAGTACAAGATTTACCAAATGTTTCCCTCTTGATAACATTTTATCTCACAATTTCACTTACAATAACCGGACCGGATAAATATACGATCGTTTACCACATTGGGTTTGTCCAATATTCAACTGCGCATAACCGTGCTTTAGATGCACGACTTTTTACCTCTACAACAATTTCTACTACAACTTTTTCTAAATATCGTATTTAAGGAACTAATAACATTTCAGTTACGGCTATTTACCACAAAATAAATTACGCTTCCGATATACTATAAAAGAAATAAACTCAATTCCGACAAAAATGGGATTTACGATCCTTTACCTCTAAAGCGGCCACAGACGCTCAATATTATTGTGCAATTCAATAGCATTCCAATTCACTTAAACTACTTAAAAAAGAAGATATAACTATCATTATGGGTGACTTCAATGCGAAAATTGGTAAAGGAAAAAGCGGAGAATTCATAGGTGATTTTGGTCTAGGGCAGAGAAATGAAAGGGGAGAAAGATTAAAACTGTTTGTAGAGGAAGAAGAATTTGCAATACTAAATACATTCTTCAAACTACCACCAAGACGCTTGTATACCTGGGTCTCCCCGCAAGATCAACCAGGACACGTAATACGGAATCAAATTGACTACATAATGGTGAACAAAAGATTTCGTAATGGATGCCTATCAGCTAAGAGTTACCCCGGTGCGGACGTATCATCAGATCATGTTCCGGTTGTTGGTAAATTTAGGTTTAGATTCAAGAAGGTCACAAAAAAGAATAGTAACAAAAAGTGCGATATGAGAAGACTAAAAGATAACAAAACAAAAGAAACAGTCGCACAGATTCTTTCAGAAAAGCTAAGTAATATGGAGCAAACATATAATGCCGAAGAATCACTCCAAAATATATGTGAAACATTTAACAAGATCAGAGAAGAACATCTTACAGAAAAGAAAGATAAGAAAAAAAGTTGGATGAATGACAATATACTGCAACTTATGGAAGAAAGAAGAAAATCAAAGAACAACAAAATAATGTACAACAAGATTCAGAGACAAATAAGAACCGAAATACGAAAGGCCAAAGAAAATTGGTTAAAATCACAGTGTGAAGAGATAGAGCTGTTAGAACAAAAACATGATACGTTTAACATGCATAAAAAGGTGAAACAAGCAGCTGGTCTTCAGAAATCCAACACAGCTAACAAACTGCGAGACCAACAGGGGAATATCATCACAGACAAAAATCAAGAAATCCGCATATGGACAAAATACATACAAGAACTCTTTGATGATACTAGATCCGAACAACCTCCATCTTACATATGTGATGACCACTTACCAATCACATCAGATGAAGTGCAAAAAGCCATATTACAACTAAAAGATGGCAAAGCTCCTGGACCTGACAATGCATATGCTGAGCTCATAAAACTATTTAACACCGACGGTATTCAACACCTAACAAAGGTATTTAATGATATATACTTAAGCGGAGTAATACCAAGAACATGGCTTAAGTCGACCTTTATTACTTTACCAAAGAAAACAAAATCCGTATCCTGCAGTGATTTCCGAACCATCAGCTTAATGAGTCATATTTTAAAATTATTTCTAAAAATCATACATCAAAGGATATATAGACTGTGCGAAGAAAAAATCAGCCGTACACAGTTTGGTTTTCGGAATGCAGTGGGTACGAGAGAGGCTCTCTTTAGTATACAAGTGCTATTCCAACGATGTAGAGACGTGAACTGCGACATTTATGCGTGCTTCATTGACTACCATAAAGCGTTCGATACAGTAAAGCACGACAAGCTGATGGAGATACTAACCAATATTGGAATAAACACTTGTGATTTAAGAATTGTCAGCAATCTGTACTGGAATCAAACATCATCTATCCGGACAGAGGCAGGAGAATCCGACGACATCAAAATCAAACGTGGCGTCCGTCAGGGATGTATACTATCACCACTGCTGTTTAATATATACTCTGAGGAAATCTTTCAAGAAGCAGTGGGTGATGTTGAAGCCGGAATTCGAATCAACGGAGAATTAATCAATAACATTAGATACGCGGACGACACGGTAGTATTTGCTGACAGCTCTGAAGCCCTCCAGGAGTTAATGAACAGAATCACAGAGGTCAGTCAGAGATACGGACTTTCACTAAACACCAAGAAAACAAAATGCATGATGATCTCTAAGAAGGAACAGCAATTTGAACAAATCAGTGTAAACGGTCAACAAATAGAAAGAGTAAAAACATACACCTACCTTGGTACGAACGTCAATGAAAATTGGGACCATTCCATAGAAATCAAATGTAGAATAGAGAAAGCAAGATCTGCATTTCAAAAAATGGCCAAGTTATTCAAATGTCATGATTTATCAATGCCCATAAAAATCAGGTTACTACGATGTTATATCTTTCCTATACTGTTGTACGGAGTTGAGTCATGGACTCTCACAGACGCCACCTGCAAGAAAATTGAGGCTTTTGAAATGTGGCTTTATCGTCGCATCCTGAAGATATCGTACACCGACCACGTTACTAATGAGGGTGTTCTGTTGAGAATGAAAAAAGAAAAAGAGCTGTTAACCACAATAAAAACAGCTAAAATCGAATACCTCGGTCACATCATGAGGAACAGCGAAAGATATGGACTGCTGCAACTAATCTTGCAGGGAAAAGTAGAAGGAAAACGGGGACCAGGAAGGCGAAGGATTTCCTGGCTGAAAAATCTACGAACGTGGTTCAATACAACAACCACAAATCTTTTTAGAGCAGCAGTGTGTAAAGTGCAGATTGCTATGATGGTCGCCAACATCCGAAACGGATAGGCACTACAAGAAGAAGAATGTGGGTTGCACAATATTTTGACGGCGCCCCACAGACGCTCAATATTATTGTCCAATATGTCGGTTTCTGCAAAAAATTGTATCGTTTGGGGTCGATATTGACGGTTGTGCAATATATTGTGCAATCTTGAGTACAGACGTACAACCACATTGTGCAAACACAAACAGTACCCGCTTGAATTTCATAGTGTGATCATGTTGAGTGATGAGGAGTTGTGTTGTGCGGTAATCGCTGTGGTCGCAAGTGAAAAAAAGAAGAAAAAAAAGGGCTCCCTGAAAGGAAGGAAATGGGCCAAACAGTGGTTCATTGATAGGGAGAAATACACTCACGAAAAGTTACTAAATGAACTGAGAGTGATTGAGCCGAATGACTTCCGCAACTTTTTACGGATGGACGGAGAATTATTTGATGAACTTCTCGCTTTGATCACTCCTGAAATTAGTAAAAGGAGCACTATCATGCGCGATGCAATACCTGCAAGTCAACGGCTGTCTATAACCCTACGATATCTCGCAAGTGGGAATAGTTTTGAAGATCTGAAGTTTTTAACTGCTGTTTCACCTCAGTCAATAGGTTACATTGTTCTGGAAACGTGCACCGCTCTGATCAAGTGTCTCAAGGAATATATTAAGGTAAGAAAATGTAAATAAATACTTTTTTCATTTTAAATCTTTTTATTTAAACGTTTGAAATGACATTTATTGGTTTGAAAACAATTTGCGATTGTACGAAACATATCCACATGAATTTGGAAAAACAACTTCCTTATTTGAAAGCAGCGAAATAAGCACTTGCGTCTTGTGGGTTTGCTGATTCATACTGATGGAATGAAGTCGTATTGTGGTGGGTTGATGCAGGAAGGGACTGCACACTGTATGGGGTTGACGCACGTGATGAAATATTATTAATTTCCACTGAATTACGATGTAACGTCCCCATTTGTCCCTCAAATAGAATATCATTGATGGCTTTCTTCGCAAACAACTGCTGATGTGGATCCATTTTTCTGAGCTCGACTGCCCAAGCTGCGGCAATTTTGTCGCTGTCGTCTTGCGGTTGTTGAAGGCGTTTAGAAGCCAGTTGCACCAATTCCTCAGTGGGATCTGGAGCTTTATTTTTCCTCTTCTTTGCACGAGGTTCACCAAACACCTGAAAAAAAAAGTAAAAAAGTAATAGCTTATTTTCATCTTTCACTGAAAACTGGGAATTTTCTAATTCTAGATTATTTTTCTTTGTTGCAGGTACCAACTACAACGGAAGAATGGAAACAAATTGCACAAGATTTCTACGATCAGTGGAATTTCCCAAATTGCCTGGGCGCTATCGATGGGAAGCATGTCGCAATAAAGAAACCCGCTAATACTGGATCACTTTACTTCAACTATAAAAAATTCTTCAGCATTGTGATGATGGCAGTGGCAAATGCTAACTATGAGTTCATTATGGTTGATGTAGGAGTAAATGGGCGAATATCAGACGGTGGTGTAATCAGTTGTACAAAATTCGGGGAAGCGCTTGCTGGTAATACATTGAGGATTCCGGAACCAGCACAACTTCCGTATAGCCAGAAAATATTGCCATTCGTTTTTTTGGCAGATGATGCTTTTGGGCTGACACAAAATTTGATGAAACCCTACCCTCAATCAGCATTAAATATGGAAAAGACAATTTTCAATTATCGATTGAGTCGTGCTCGGCGTACGATCGAAAATACTTTTGGGATCTTAGTCAGCCGATTTGGCGTACTGCAGAAGCCAATAGCACTGTCTCCTAAGAAGGCTCAAATAGTTGCCTTAGCATGTTGTTATTTACACAACTTCCTACGCAAACGCCAATCACGAGCTTACGTCACTACAAATCTCGTGGATAGTGAGGATTTACAGGCAGGCGTCATCACGAATGGATCGTGGAGGGATGTTGTAATAAATGAGATAACCCCACTTCAGCATAACACCACCAACAGAAACGCAGCAAATAGTGCTAAAGCAGTCAGAGATACTTATTCTAATTTCTTTAACAATGAAGGCCAGGTTTCATGGCAATGGAAAATTTTAGGCGCAAGTGGCTCTACCAACTAACTAAAAATGGGATACCTGCGTGAAAATAATATTAACAATATTTTCAAAATAATAAGTTATTACCTAAGCTAAACTTATACAGGGTGTTTTTTAAAAAACTTATCACCC